TGCAAGAAAAATAATTAGATATACCAAATAAAATTTTTCATGGTAACTAATTTGTACACCATTAAATAACCAAGCGAATGGTTCATCCAAACTGAACCATCATTAGCCATTTTTTTATGGTTTATAAAACGAGACTTCTTCATATTTGTTAGCTGATGATAATTATTACTTTTTTGTTTTTGTTCTATGTTTTTAAACGAAACAACCAACTCTCCTTTACCACACGAAATTTAAAATAAACCTGATGCCCATCCCGATTTCTATACCACATTAAATTATCCACTTTTTTCGTTGTACGCAAGTTTCTGTGCACGGGATTTATTGCACAAAAGTACAACACTTGGAAAAAAAAGCTCCAACGAATAAAACACAACCGATCCCTTTAACCCTGGACTCGTCCAATTGAATGGAAATTTATGATCTTATCCATTTCCGCTAACCCCCGATTCCCCACCTCTCTCTCTCTCTCTTACGCACATGCACACACACGTCCCTTCCCAAAAAATCTCCACGCGGGCACAGCGCCGTCTTCGTCATAGTTATTCCGCAAAGAGAAAAGCTCTGCAAGCTCCATACGTCAGATGGAGGGTTTACTGCTGATGCGCACACGTGCTTTTCTCGCGTATCACCCCTCGATGGTATATAGGTATGTATACACGTAACATCGGCAGCGTGCCGCATCGACGTCGACGAGCGTGAAGCCAAGTTCAACACACATTTTCACACACGGAGACTTTCTCCACAGTTGTAAGGTTGTGCAGTCTGCAGCTAACATACATACATACATACACCCGCTGGCTATATGTATATATATAGCCTGGAGGGCACTACTATATAGACGCGTGCGGCTTACTTTTGTGCCACTGTATAGGTACACCACCTACGTATAAAAGCCGCCGAAGAGGTACACGTACCTCAGCTGCAGTATTGTATGTATAATACGCGACCCTCTCTTTTACTCGTCGATACTCGTGTACGCTCGCAGTTGTCATCCCCAGAGCGCCCCGAGCTGTTCGTGTGGCACGAGCTTTCGCTCCGGGGACTGTTTTTGCTCCCCATCGTAAAAAAATTACAAAATACCAATATTTGAAACGAAAAAAAAATAATAATAATAAAAACTAGTGCGCGCAAGTAAAGAAGAGGAGTGTGTTGCATCGGCCTGAAAAGTACATCAGGGATATCGGCAAAAGGGCAGTGCAATACGCATATACACACACATATATATACATTTTTTACAATTATACGGCGACTGGCCACGGCCGCCACGTGGGCACGCCGTGGGTGATGGAGGGCCTAAAGATGATGCCGCTCAACGTCCTCGAGTGCGCCCTCTGTTTACCCCAATACTATTACGGGGCGCTTCTCGGTCTTGGTTTCGTTGCATACTATCTCATAGACGTCGTCAAAGTGAGTAATATTTACCACCGCAACATTCAACCCCCACTTGCAGACGTTTAGATTTTTCATACGATCTCGTTTGACTTGTCATTCTTGAAGTTTTTTTTTTTTCCTTCATTAGTGTAATTGGTTTTTATTGATTTTTTTATTTTTTTTATTTAATGGATCGAGTGGTGGCTTTTTTGTGTCGAGCGTACGGTGCTTGATTAATTATTCGGGGGACGAGGAAACAATGCCCTTTTTTCCGGCCAAATAAAGTCGCTTCGATTGTATATACCTGGAAAAATTATACTTCGTGTGTATATCGACCACACGTGTGGTTTTTCATTACTTATGAACGTTGCCGTTACATTTTTTTTAAGTCGTGGAACATAAGTGGTTGTACAAAAGCAAATACGTTGTATTTCGTTGTTACGGAGCAATTAAAAATTAAAAATCATTCGGTCTCTGGTTGAAAGTATTTTATAATTTATAGGTAACAGTGAATAATTAGTCGTTCAAATAAAAAAGTTGCTCGAGTTTTTGAAAATTCAATACCAAAATGTACTTTCAATTTGACTTGAAAAATTATCACTATGAGATGTGTATATACTTGACGCAGAGACTTAAGTGTTATGAAAACGATTTTACGTAGGTATTGATTTCTCGGGTTCTATATTTGCGTGGATGTAAATGTAAAATAAAATCTTTAAAAAGGCTTCAAAATAACTTACGAAAAATATCTTCTATACGACTCATCAAGATGTCGATTCTTTTTTTAAAGATAAGTTTAAAACATTTTTTTAACGAGATTTTCGAGTTGTGCAATTTGTAAGTATATTATTGGAGAAAAAGTCGAAACAAAAGCTTATTAATCTAAATACTTTGGCACAATGAAGTTGTCATGATTCAACTGTTTTTAAGTAGGACACGTTACAACCGGAAATTCGATTTAAACTGAAAACACCGATGAAAGTAAAAAATAACATCCGCGATGAAAAAAAAAAATTTTACTTTATCTGATAAGCGTGCACTTTTGATCTCTCCTTAAATAAACCTGAAAATGTCTGTACTGTCTCNTTTTTCATGGTTCGACGATCTTTGTTTTTGTTGCAATGTCACACACAACACTATATATTATACGTATAATGTACACACGTAATGTATCGTATCGTCGACTATAAATACGTATTTAGACAATTAAAAAAAGTGCCTAAGAGTCAAATAATTTGTATGATATAAGTATATTATGATATATAAATAGTGATAAATTAAGTACCATGCGTTCATTAGTTTGTAAATGTTACTTTTTCTATAGGAATCCCATGTGAATGATTATCATAAAAATTCATTTATTTTGCAATTGCTTAATGCTTCAATAAATAAAAAAAAAAATATTCGTAACTTATCAGTAAGAGAAAATAAGAAAATTAGGAAACACCCGAAACTAAAACGTAGCTCAATTAAAAATTTCATAAGTTTTTATTAAGAAAGAGATTAGTAATGTTAAAAAATAATGAACGAACAGGACACGTTTATTACAATTTCAACAAATAAAAGTTTCATAACTACTGTTATTTAGTTTTAAATTATCGTAGATATATGCCGTTGACTTAATTTTGCAAGCACGACCCAGTTAATACATTATACTTAAGTTATTTATTTTTCAAATATTAATTTCGACACGAAATTCAAGGGTTTGTAAAAAATAATAAAACTCGTTCGATTTACGGTAAAACTATCCGCTATTGAGGTCAGGACAACTCAAGCCCTTGAATGTATTTTATTTGAAATGAAAAAAAAAAAAATTATTAGATTTCATGGTTTTCTGTAGACTCAAATTACTTCCTCCTTCAACAATAATTTTTTTACTTTATTTCATTGACAAACACGGATGAAAAACGTGCACTTCAAAACTCAGGAGTAGCGGAAACATAATGTCACAATCGGTGGTTCTTTACATTAGTGTAAAGACAATCGTCACGCACCCCAACTACCGTTCTTTGACCTGCTCAATCTGTGTCAATTTTTATTTATGCATAAATAAACAAATACGTGGTCAGTATTTTTTGATAATTCATAACTGACGACCCGAATTAAACTTTTTTTTCTCGTACATCGTTCCGTTTCCTCTGCTATAGTACATACGGGTTTTATTGTCTTTTCTACCTTCGAGTAGAATCTAGTTGTTATTAAAAAAAAAGAGGGTGTTAACCAAAAATATGTAGTGGAATTAAATTGTAAAATTTGTTATGGCCTTAAATTTGTGCAAAGTTTCAATAAATTGTTTATACAACAATATATAAACGAATGAATAAAACAAAAAGTAATAAGTTACAAGTCATAAAAGTAACGGACACTCAAAAAAAGATGAAAACCGATGGATAGCGCGCTGCGAGTATTTATACCATCAGTCAATGCGTCTTTTTTCATTGTTTATCTGCAAGCAAAGCGATCAGTCACGTTATTTTCACGTGCACGCGACTATCCCTGTCACCACATCATTGACACAATACCTATGTATTACGTGGTGTCATCGTCTGCAGATTCCACTGCTGGTGTGCGCCGAAGGTCCCTTCTACGATTTCCTGACCGACAATTTACCGATTTTGAGGAATCGCTTCTGGCCAACGCTGTGGTGCTTCGAGGCTCGCGCCCAGACCATATTCGCGAGTGTCGTACGCGCGAAAATGATGCCGCGCATGAAGTACCGCAGGTATTTGGCCGTATTTTGTATTAACAAAAGGAAAAAAAAAAAAAAAGGGGAGGTATACAATCGATAATTCCGCTGCAGAGAAATGCTGACGCTATCGGACGGTGGGGAAGTGGCCCTCGATTGGGCGGAAGAAAATTCGAATCCATCCTCGCCTGTGATCATCATCCTGCCCGGATTGACCGGAGCCAGCCAAGCCGAGTACATCAAGTGCCTGATTTACGCTGCCAAAAGTTTGGGCTTCAAGTGCGTGGTGTTCAACTACAGGGGCATGGGTGGCATTAAAATTAAGGTAAAAATAAAAAAAAAACTCCAAAGTGGTTTTAACTGAATCTTACGGTCCGAGCTCCCCAAGCGATACATTTATTTGAAAATCTCTAAATCTGAGTTTTAGTTCACGGAAAAGTAGTTTAATGGACCACCTCCGTTGCGACTCGGTTTGAAAGTTGAGCCAGAATTTTTTTTCACATCATTCACTTTGACTGCACTGGCCTCAGATTATTGTTTTTTATTGTACTGTTCGCCTCGTTTCTTCGGGGAAGCGCATTATTGTGTTTACGTAGCCAAGAGTCGTACGAAAGGAAAAAAAAAAAAAAAAAAAAAAAAAAAAAAAAAAAAAAAAAACAATTTCAGACGCCAAAACTTTACTGCGCATCGGCCTGCGAGGACTTGGCCGAGGTGATCGACCACATCTCCGAGCTTCACCCGCAAGTCCCGATCGGCGCGACCGGAATATCAATGGGCGGGTAAATGCCATATAACATAATATAAGACACACTAGGTGTCGAAAAGATGATTAATCAGTATATTCCCCTTGGACTTGTATAGCCTACTGCTGGGGAACTACCTCGCCCAGTACGGCACCAAGGCGATCGGCAAGCTAAGAGCCGCCCTGATAATTTCGGTGCCGCTCAACTTGTTCGAGGCCACCAAGAGCATCGAGAAGCCGTACTTGAACCTCATACTCAACAAGCACCTCTGCTTCAATCTCCAGAGGATACTCAGGCGCCACGTGCCCAAGGAGGGCTTTCCCAATTTGGATTTGAATGAAATTTACAAGGTATATATATATATATGTAAGGGTTGAATCGTTGAACGCGGTGTAACCGGTTGTTTTGTCGGCCGTTCCAAAGTGCCAGACCGTCCGGGAGTTCGACCAACACTTCACCGCCCGGCACTTTGGCTTCAAGGACGCCGACGACTACTACGCGAGCGCCACCCTCCACGACAAGTTGCACCTCATCGAGATACCCGTTCTGTGCCTCAGCGCTGCCGACGACCCTTTTCAGCCGCTTCACGGTGGGCATGGTATACCAGATGTGTGTATTATGACTTGTTTTTCATTCTTTTTTTTTTTTTTTCCTTTTGTGCTTCAGTGACGCCTTTGAAAGAGATCAGGAATTCGAGGAACGTGGCCATAATCGTCACACCCCGAGGAGGACACATTGGGTTTTTAGAGGGAGTGTGGCCCCTCGGAGAGGAGCAGTACATCGGCAAGATGCTGTCGCAATTTTTCACCGCAGTTTTCACCCTAGGCAAGGAACACCCGGCCTTCAGTTGATGCCTCGGCATTGGCTCCACTTGACCGTCTTATCGAGTTCATTTTATGCATACATATATACATACCTACGTACTTATATATTAATATTATTACATGTAATTGATGAGACACACACTATGTTGCGTTTTACGGTGGCACAAGGATTTTTTTTTTCCATCCCTTTCTCTCGTGACGTTAATTTAAGAGTTTTATCATCGGTTATGGTGTTTACGCGGAACGAGACTGATACTTTTCTTTTCTCTTTTTTGGTGTTGTATGTACAACAATTGCTGTTTTTCATGGTTCGACGATCTTTGTTTTTGTTGCAATGTCACACACAACACTATATATTATACGTATAATGTACACACGTAATGTATCGTATCGTCGACTATAAATACGTATTTAGACAATTAAAAAAAGTGCCTAAGAGTCAAATAATTTGTATGATATAAGTATATTATGATATATAAATAGTGATAAATTAAGTACCATGCGTTCATTAGTTTGTAAATGTTACTTTTTCTATAGGAATCCCATGTGAATGATTATCGAATAAAAGCTGATTGAAAAAGAAAAGTTTACATGGACAATATTCGTTTCATTTTATTTGCTTGGAATTTGACATTTTGAATTTCGCGCTTGAAATTACCTAGTACAGAAAATTAGCTTACCGACCTCTCTTTCATAGCAGACGACATCGATATATAAATATATATGTGCACTGTATATATAATATGATGTTAACCTCAAAGTGTCAACGGCAAAGGCTTTGTAATAACAAATAACACTAAAAATATAGAAAATCGACGTTCCTTATTGATACGAACGCTAGATCGGTTGAAATGTCAAATTCTTACGGCACTACGTATTACAGTGAAGCCTACAATAACAGAGAACATCAACAAAATCTCAAGTACAAAAATAAACTCAAAAAATTGAAGAAACTAATCAAAGACATTGTAGTTGTAAGTTAATTAAAAATTTAATAGTAACTTACATGATGATTTTTCCACAATTATTCTTATACGCAGGAAAATTCGGCACTCTGCGATGAAGTGTCTAGAATGCAGGAGAATCTTGTTGTGGTCAAAGAAGAGAGACTCATGCTCTTGAGAAGATTGTGTCAACTACAGGGAGAAGTCGATCTCGGGACTCTTTGTGCCAAATCTCAAATGGGAAGTTCAAGTTCACCAGTGGCAAACTCCGACACCCATACTCCCAAGAAAAGTGCCAAAAAACGCAGTAGTGTAGAAACTCCTGGTGAGTAGATAATATATTCATAGATGGCACAAAGTGATGAAGTTCTGTGAAAAAAAAACTCGTTTTGTTTTCAGACACAAAAAGCAAACCAAAAAGATCCAGCAAGATAAGCAAAAAAGTTGTACAGCTGATCCCCTTGGATGTCAATGGAAGACCAATATTTCCAATTTCATTGGGAGACTTGACTGTTTATTCGCTGGGTGACGTTGTTACAGATAGAATAGCGTATCACACCGAAGACCTTATATTTCCAGTTGGTTATTGCAGTACCAGGGTATATGCAAGCTTAAAAGACGTTAGGATGAAGAGCTTATATACTTGTAAGATTTTAGATGGTGGAATGAAGCCAAGGTAAATTCGATACTTTAAAATAGCGTCACGTGTAGTATATAAAGTAAATAATCTGATTTTTTTATGACATAAGGTTTGAAATAGTTTCCGACACTGATCTGGATCAGCCACTAGTGGGGTCAAGCCCAGATGAGTGCCATTTACGACTATTGGCAACCATATCACCAAGTTTAAGTTCAGTTTTTCCAAAGGGTGCAGATTTTTTCGGTATATCTCATCCAACAATACAAAATTTAATCCAAAGCTCACCAGGCACACGTAAATTGATCAACTACAAGCCACAAAAATTCGAGGTACATAATTTTGTATGTTTTATTTTATGTTTGTGTCTTTCTAACGATCTATTGTATTAATTAGATTAGCAAAAGTTCAGACATCACCGAAACAAATCCAGCTGGAGAAGAAGATCCTAGTTTAGGTTTTGCAGCTCTGCACAGGCATTATGCTTTACCCTCTGCATTTGTGATTAAACAAGAGCCATCAAATCACGGATTAATAAGTTTTCAAGAGCTGCTTTCATAATCTTGAAATATAATTTAATTTTAATTGATAATTTATGTAGGTAAGTTTATCATAATTCGAACAACGAATAAAACGACACGATTTTTGTAGACAATCCATAGTATATAAAACATTTATTATATCCCTTAATAATATTTACAGTTGGTCAGTATTACAAACAGCCGTTTAAGGAAATTTCTTAAGTAGTCTAAAATAACTATTTAAAAAGCTCCATGAGCACAATTGCTCAATCGAATTAAAATTATTCGTTTACAAAAAGCCATTTGCCACAATTAGTGAAAAAATTCTATCACATATTATTTACTCGTATTCTCACTTTGTCAATAAGGCATGAGAAATATATTGCCTCTTGCAACGGAACTTTCGATATTTTACGATCATTACAATTTCAATTTTACAAATCCGTAGCGTGTGTATGTACATAAAAAGTTCCTTATGCCACGAAACCAAGATTTTCATTGTTATAAAATAAATAAAAAATAAAAATCTCTCGATGTAACAAAATATAACGCATAACAAAAAGTCTTTGATAAAAGTATTTTTCGGCATTACATACTTTTACGAAATATTTATATTCGTAAAATTATTAGGATGTACGCAGTTCAAAATTTTACATTGTTTATGCATAGTTTATGCATGTGTTAATTTGTTGAAAAAACATTTACAACATTTCTGACATTGGCTGCCTCATCATTTATTTGTCCATTACACAGGTACAACAACAATATGGTACCTGTGTAATAAAAAAAACGTAGTAATGGCAGCAAATGAAAATACTAAGCAACTAAAGAGTTAAGTAGGTGAGTTTGCCCTTATAAAATAATATTTGTCAACACGATTTTATCTTCAAAATCTTTTTAAAAAGTAATAACCCAAATAATCCCGGAAACAAAGATCATATTCCATCCACAATTGAATCGTAATGCTATTTGACTTATATTAGCGCTCATGTTCGTTTAGCGACGGGCGTAATTTTAAATTTTACACTCGTATACATGATTTATATATGAACATATATTATCAGTTCGATTGTTGCGTATTTACATTGACATAAAGCTTACGATATAAATCACACTTCATTTAACTGTTTTCGTTCAGTCATCTTTATGATTTATGTAAAAAAATTCGATGAAAAGTTATCGCACTTAAGTGCGTTATTCAAGAGTCTATTTTCTCATTGGTATTTTTCTCCTGATCGCTTAAGCCATGTTTTTGTCACCGTCTTTTTGATGCGCCAATATATCTATTGGTCACGGTGTTTGCCACTGCAACTACTGGTGAAAACAGTCTTAGTGGATACTCTCTGAAAAAAACAAAATAAGTAATGAGATGGTTTTATTAACTCAATTTTGTAGTAAGAAAAATATACATACGCATCAAGTGTAACAGGTTCAGCTTCATTTCCACTTACAATGGAAATCGGAAAGAAAATGGCAAAAACACAGCCGCTGTGAAAGTATACCACGATTATAACAATATGTAATAAGTGTATTCTGCGCGTTAAACATCAAAAAACAGAGAAAAACATTTATTTACTTCACAAATATAGATGGATGCATCCTAGTAGCTACTGTCATAGGCAAGCCAAATCCAACAAAGTAGGGCCAATTGTTTTCAATGAATTCAAGCCTTCTGTGCAATTCCCAGCCCATGTTGAACCATTTATACTCAAAGGCATAAAGGGAGTAAAGAAGGCACAGGTGAATGAACTGAAGAATCTCACCAATGGGAGACAGCGGCAGCATGGATATGATGAAAGCTTGGGCCACGAATAGTATTTGCACGGCAAAACTAAACAACATATCTGCAATGAGTTTGCTTACACTTGACAAAAGCATAGGTCTTCCTTGGCGATATCTGTACGCACTGTCAGCAATATCCTATAGAAAATTATTTATCCATTTCAAATGTCAGTCATTAGATATTGTATGTTGTGTAATCTCTACAAGAAACAGTTTTACAATTTATCATACGAGTAAGATACGGAAACTTATCGTACGAAAAAACGTGGTTGCGGGTATTTTGCTGACTCATTAATGTATGTATATGAACTGATATGTGATAAATAAATCATGAATTGAGTATAATTACCTGAAACCATAGAGCGTTGACTATTCTACTTAATAAAAACATTGGAAGTAACCATAGTACGTCGATTATAACCGTCACAACTGGTTGAACAAAGGACCACATTGTTTCACCAGTGTTATCCGAAAAACTGCACAGAGAGGCGAATTGTTTGATAAAAAGCATGACGATGGGCAACAACATGTAATTAACGAAAATAATGCCAAGAAAGCAGACGCTAAAGTTTAAAACCATGCATTGGAACGTCCTTTTGAGCACCTGGGATTCTCTGTAACATTAAAAGAAAAATGATCATCAAAAAAATCGTGAACATCCGAAACTCTCCCTTGGTTGTACGAAATGTCTGGTTGGCTGACCTTTGATTCTTAGGTAATTTTGCTGGGCTACTTCCATGATTGTTGTCGGAGCGCCTGCGAGGGTCCGTCCTCGTCGGCGATTTCTTCAGTCTTTCATTGATCTCCTTGTCTATGGTCAATATGACAACGGCGCCTCGTAGACTGTCCACCAAGCCTTGGAACATGGGCAGCACAAAACTCTGTGTTTGATGCAAATAAATAGTATAGTTTAGCTGTGACTACAGTGATAAACGAAATTAGACACCACTGAGAGCAAAAAGAGAGAGAGAAGTAAAGAAGCATGTGCTCCGAAACGAGCGGATTTGATGAATATGCCAGTTGGAGAGTGGCCAGGGTAAAGAATTATGTACCCAAAAAGCGAAATACTCGATAGCCCAAAAATATCTCTACGGTGACGGCAATGATGACCCTTTTTCTCTTTGTCTTTTCAAATGAAAAAAGAAATAAAAAAAACAATAAAAAAATACTCTAACGTATTGAATCACTCACCTTTAATCCCCGCATCTTGTGAAACTGTATCCTATGGACTAATTACAACAAAGACGACGACGACGACGACGATATGGATGCAGTGATGATGAAGGTGATGATGATGGTGTTATGCTGTCCGCGTGTGCACTGATGCGCATCTTCCGCTAGGAAAAGAATGAAAGTCTTAGTAGCAATAGCAACAGAGCACCTTTCTGGTTTGTTTCTTGGCTTGGCACTACGAGCAGTACGAGCAGCTATCGTGCATAACTTGTATGCGTTGGACAGTTTTCTCTCTGCACTTGGAAACTTGGATTACACTAATGGCTATAGGTATAAAGGCCGTATTGATATATTTTAGCCACTTCGTAGTATAAAAAAACTATAGCACAACAAAGCACCAGCTGTTGTTCGTTCACCCCCCTCGTCCTTCATCGTCACCATCCCTTGTTGCTGTGGTTATTACCCAATAACAAGTGTACACAACGTAACTGATGTACCTATACTCACATACAATTGATACAATTATTACAAAGTCACAAAAGGATTGAAGGAGAAGGAGATTACGAGAAAACTGGAAACTTTAAATTTAAATATGTGTGTGTGTATACCTAATACTCGTACGTATTAGCGAATGTTATGAGTATGTGAGTATGAGGGCCATTCTACATTTCTGCTTTCTGTAGAGCTAGTGCTTGCATGCAGTGACCGTCGAAGAAGTGCTATGACATCGGCGTCACATTTTTTTGATTAGCTGATCTGAACTGAATTTTAATCCAAATACAGATATAAATGTGCAATTTGTACTAAAATTTTTGAAAATGGTCCCGCAATCCACAATTCGCAACCACTCAAGTCCACGAGTGTGAGAGAGATCTCATATATTTATCAGTCTCATGGGCTTAAGCGGTTCCGTATTGTGACCGCGGCCTAAAGCTGGAATCACGTGGTACGAAACACAACTCCAAAATGGACCAATGAGAGCCCGTGATGGCTTTCATTGGTTATTCCCGTAGAACAAAGTTTATTTGGACTTTAAATTTTCACCCTACACATATATATTACGCGGAAATTTCTATGAGCTCTAAGTCGTAGGTATATATTATGCGTATTGCGTGATTTTTCACTAATGTCGAGGTTATTAAATATTTTGGTATTTTTTTATTCATGATAAATAAAAACAAGATGATCCCTTATGTAACGCATTTTTTGACACTATTTATGCACATTTTTCAATGAACCTACATACAAACAGGTAAGTAATCCAGAACAATATTGTTTAAGCACATGTGCGCTACTGAGGAAAAATACGTCCTTTTGTTAAATTTTTCTTTCTTGTTTTCTCGAAAGTTTATTCGAATTATTTTTAAAGGATGTTCTTAGAATTCTATGAAATAACCTTTATCACCAAAACTTTGAAATTGTTAACATTTTTTCATAATGCTGTTGGAAACTGAGACAGAAAGTTATTTAACATTTGATCAATCAACAAATAAAAACAGTGAAATAATCCTAGGGCTGAAGTAAAAAAAAAAAAAAAAAAAAGTGTTTTTGTATAATTATAATTTGTCGTATTTAAAAATATACATTACCACAAACCTCATTTGGTTAGAGGAATTGTATTTTTTTTAAACGCTGCGTAACTACTAATATATATATATATATTATATTTTCAATTAAAATTGATGTGCTTCAAATCGTCCACAATTTTAATCGAAGTATAATGGCACAAATCTATTTTTTATCCCTATATTTTTCGATAAATAAATACACATCACTAAAAAAATAAAATACAATCGCACATGTATACGTCACGCACTTGGACCACGCATTGCGGTGTCAACAATTTTTTTCTCCCTTATCGTCACGTGTACAACAACACTCGTATCGCCACCAGCGCACGAGACAAATGACAAAACTTTGGGTCCGCACAATTTACAGGACAAACGTAAAGTGATACCCGATAAACGTGCAGGTATATCGGCACGGCAATGAGGGACAGCACACCCGTATCAACGACTTCGAAGAGTCAAGAATCTAACCCAAGGGATGGCCTTTTGCGCATCCACCATCGGCGTGCCGGTGCTTATCAGCCGAAAGATAGCCTCGGCCTCTCTTGCATACTGCAAGGTATTACGTCGTATTTAGCCACTTTATAAAAATATCAATACGATATGTATACCATACATCTTGCAGCTATACTTACAAAGGTTTGCTCCAACTTTTTCAATAGTAGAAACATTTGTTGTGTAATATGTTCTTTTTTGCCGATCAAGAAGTAGTTGGGGATGCAGAAGGTGATCATCAGTCGTTGATGAGAAGAAGATCGTTAACAGTACCGCCCGACAACATTGGGATATCGTGCCTACCGACGGGAGATGGTTCGGAAAATTCCAAGGCCCCGGAATCCGAGGCCTCACCGGACGCCCCCGACATCCCTGACTCGCAATGCGTGCGTTAATTGTACAAATTATACATGTATACACCTGCTTGGTTAGGCCACACGTTTTCCTCCCGATTGGCGAGTCTTAAAGATCCTTGATCGTTTCAGCTGAAAAAAGTGGAACTGGACGTTTTGAAGAAGCTTCAGAATCGTGAGTTTGAGTTTTTTTTGGCAAAGAGGATTATTCCTTTTTTTTCTGTTTTAACGTGGCATTGGTGGCTTTGCAGTGAGAACGAGCGATTTGGCCGACGATCGGTTACTCGACATCGGTATCAGTAACATTAGGAGGCCGAAGAAAGCGCTTAAGCCCCGAAAACCGATTTTGCCGAAAACCAACATTGGATCGAGTTGTCAACTGTTGCGTGAGTTCTCGATTTTATTGTTCGATGCGGCGCGCTTGGTTTATCGATTTTAAATTTCTTGCAGAACGTCCCACCGTTTCCAACACGAGTATCCGGAGTATGGAGAAAGTAATGATACTGTAAAATCTGTTGTTTTTTTTTAACTATTGATAAAATCAGTGCACACAAAACTGTCCTTGCAGAAACTAAGTCACGCGTCGGAAAAAAATCGGCGTGTCAAAAAAACTCAGTCAGCCCCGACTGGATTACGAGGGAAAGAAAAATCGGTGGGTGAAGGGAGAACAGGACAGTAGTGTTGAAGAAGCCCGTGAACAAAAAAGCAACATTTTGTGTTTCACTCAACGTACGTACTTATTTTTAGAATAATTTGGGATGGTAAAAAAAATGGTCCGTTTTTTTTTCAGAATCACCGAAAATCGTAACGGAGGCGAAATAATTTATTTTTTGTACACATGTTTATTTATACAATGTTTACAAATGACTTTTTTTAAAGTATAAAAACTTTACAGTTTCCGAAACTAGAAATGCTCCTTTTTGTATAAATAAAAACATATACTCTTATAAAAATATTGTTTTACGAAATGAGGTTTTCAATGTATTTGAAGGTATGAAAACTAATTTCGCTCGATTTCGTTCATTCATCGACGTCACGTTGTTTTTCACGAGAACTCAAAGAGACTCTGTAACCATGGACCGACCTAACGGAAATATCCGTTCTTAATTTGACGTCCTTGAGAGCAACGTCCGATTTGATCACGTATCCCCGGATGACATTTACCAACATTGTTTTCAGTGCCATTATCGCGTAGTTTTTACCTTCAACCAAAAAAAACGGAAAAAATAAAAAATTGTTTCTAACATGCCATCACAGTTTATTGGTGCTCATACCGATACACCCCATCGGTCCACCACTGAAGGGGACAAAGGCGTAAGGATGTCTTTTGGAAACATTTTCGGAGCTGAAACGTTCCGGGATAAATTCATCGGGTTGGTCCCAATACTCGGGACTACGGTGCGTCCCGTACAGAGCCATCACCACCTCGCAGCCTTTTGGAAGTACACACTTGTCTGTAGAAATAATAATAATATTCCCTTCTCAATGTCGTTTCAACGGATTTCCCTCATTTCCTACTCACCTAGTTTCAACTCCCCGGTCAATCGACGTCCCAAAAGCGGGCCCACAGGAAAAAGCCGTAGGGTCTCCTTTATAACCATCTCGACGTACTTCAACTTGGACAAACCTTCTACGTCGACATCGTTGTCACCTAGTACTTCTTTGACTTCGTTCCTGGCCTTATCTTGAACGCTTTCGTGTATTCCCATCATCAGAACGGCAAAGCTGCTCGTCAGAGCTAGAGTATCTTGAGCCTGAAACCCCCACTCTGATTTGTTCTGTTGATGAAAAAAAAAAAAACCATAAATCCAGATTAACGCACAGCGATGTAAACCGTGTAGATCTCGTCCCTCAGCTCCTCGTCATTCAACTCCCTCGCGTCCTCGTTGGCTGCCAACAGCTTGTGGAGTATGGACACGCCGATGACTCCGTCCCGCGTCTCTTGCCTCCTGGATTCGATGCACTGTGGACAGGATAATCGATGATAAAACAAAATCCTATTTTATTTGCTCGTTTGGTCCACCATATATACCCGTTCGGTGAAGTCGTTGATGACACTTTTGGCGCGCTGTTGCCGCCTGTGTCTCGCTGTCATCCGGAAAATCCAATCTGGATGCAGCCAGGCTTTCAGCATCCGGTCGTACGTTATTTGGTACATCCTGAAAAATTGTACAGCAACGACTCATGGACTTGCGAAATTTTCAAAGTATATAACACGTACTGAGCTGTGTGATGGATGAACTCGTAGTTGGGATTGGTCAACGCGTTCGCGGAGGAGTGGCCCATTATTGTTTCTGTAATGATACCATTTTTTTTTTTTTTTTTTTTTCCCAACACATATTTTTGGGCATCAATAACTTTATCGATCAATTAAATCGTACGTACCGCAACAAATATCTATGGTGCAGCCTTCGATGTAGTGGAAGATATCAAATACCTCTCCATTGGCCAGAGGTTTTAGTTTCCGCACCAACTCCGTGCTTCGATTGTTGAATGTTGCGACAAAGGCTTCGAAAGTGCGTTGAGTGAACAGGTGGGACACCATTTTTCGGTGAGCTTTCCAAGTTTTTCCTTCAAAGGATCATTGTTTTTAAATAGTTCTTTATTTATTTCAAAAAGTAATGTATAGATACCAGATCCGCTAATCAAGCCATTGCCGATAAAAGGATAAAAGAACCTGTAATGGCTTCCTTTGGTACTTGACTGTGGACTGTGCAAAACGATCTGAATAACAATAACAGGTAGTTGTTCATCTCCATTTCTGTTATTATTTTGTTGATTCTATGATAAAAATATCACAGATTTTTTCTATAATCTCCAATGCATCAGCTGATAATTATGATATAGATAAAGGTTGGATGTACAAATAATCATAAAAGTAATTGAATTTGACTTTTTTAATCATCTGAACAATCGAAGAATTACAACTGTATCGACAAAACTTTTATTGGATTAGAGTGGATTTCATTTTTAGAATTTATAAATTCAACAAACAAGTTGATTAGTGCAACTTTCTTATTCCAACGAAAAGTTTTATTGTGCGGTAACATCAATATCGAGAGCTCATTTCTCGTGTTTTACCAAACTAATCAAGGTAAAAATAAAAGTATCAACGTCGTAAATCAAAAGAACTATCCATAAAAATAGTTTTTCATCAAAAAATATTATGAAATAGCGCGTGAAACGTCCCTGACGTGTCCATGGTGGTATATTCATAAATCTCGTTGCACCTCGCAGTAACGAGAAAAACTGCAACAGCGACCACGCAAAAATACCTAATATCCATCCGTAAAGGATATATATATTGCGGATTTTTCTCGTGCATGGCCTCAAAGATTTTTCACCGGCCAACAAAATTCCACGCCCGGTATCCTCACGAATACCTTCTTCCCGCACGTTCGAAAGACAAAAGTCTTTTTGGCATACGCTCGTTCGCACGACCGCTGCCGCGTTGGACGTGAGCTGCGAAACAATGTTTTTCGCGTGACTGCGCCCGAGAACGGCGCCTTTATTGCGTTGTTCAAATTCAGTGGCTTACCATATTTTTAATTAAATTTATTTTATATATCACTCAAAGCCTCCTACGACGGTCGTTCAATCCTGCAATTATTTATTTAATATTTCCGTCAATGTCTACAACACGACTAAATGTTTCATACTTAGGAAAATATGCTGTTAAGGTGTAAGGTGTACGAATGTCAAGTTTGTCAGATATTTTGCATCGCAAATGAGCACTTGTTATTACGAGGGCAAATCAATAATTTCATTCAAACATATTTTACTTCCGGGTGAGCCTCAATGGAAAATTCGTCATCGTAATTAATTTTATTAATAATCTGCGTGGGGTTGCAATAAACTATGAGCAATGGAATGAATTAATAAATTACATCATGGTAAATATCAATAAATTTCCTACCTCATAACTGTTTGATCAGCCTTTATATACATTTTTCCGAACGAAAAAAAAAAAAAAAAAAAAACAAATGCTATATATTTTACCTCAATGTCACGTGGCTCGGTGATTACGATGCAAAGCTTTGGACCCATCCACAGTCTCATTGGTGTCACATTGCCGTACAGCTCGAGGATACCCACGATACGCTCGAACAGTTCTGCGAGAATTTCCGTTGTAAGGTACAAAAGGTTCCCTTTTTTTGTTATGTGCAATCAAGTTTTGTAATATTTTTTAAAAATTATTCAGTGTCAACACCGGTTGTGTTTGGAAATAATTACCAAGAAAAACAAATATTTGCCATGATTACCTTAAAAATTAGTGTTACTCAAGAAGAAGTTTAAAATTTATCGTAATATTCAAGAAAAGTAAACGTAAGTGCCATTTTACAACAAAATAAACCTATTAGGTCGAAAGTTGAAAATCCTTACGTATATCATGTTTTATTTAATTCAATAAAGAAGCAAAATAAAGATGCTTGGGAAAAAAAAAAAAAAAAATCTCGGGTGAAAAAATAAAACTGAGCGCTTGATATTGCGGATGTGCACTCACGGTCTGAAGCGAATATCAATGCATTTCCGACGATGGGATAGGCGGTCGGGCCCGGAAGCTTGGCGGCAACTACGAAGAGTCGTCTCTTGTTCAGTAGGTATTTCACTAAGCTTGCAATCAAAACCACGGAGATCAGTGCAACTGAAAAATCTAGGATATCGAACTGTAGTTATTAAAACGTGCCAAGGTTTGTAAAGAAAAAAAAAAAAAAAATTGTTTAACAATTCGATTATATAGGATTACCTCTGAACAACGGAACATAATTGTTGAAAGCGCGTGTGCTCATTGTGAAATAATTATTTTTTGGTCTACCAGTTTGACTGTTCAAGAGAAAACTGACGTGTGCACGGCTCTTCCTTTCATATTTGCCATTGTGTATCTATACTTGTCTTCTGAGTTTTAGTAGCCCATCACCAATGGCATCGCATGCACCAATTTATTGCCGGTACGTGATATTGATTAAAAATCATCACATGTACCTCACCTTGTTTTAACGAACACCGTGACTATCTACCGATGTCAGGGTTTATACATGAATTCACATTACATTAGTTCTTTGGTATTTTTTAACAATGTTAGACGTTTTTAACAAATACTGTTGTCCAAGTAGTGCATCGATGTATTTTAATTCACATACTATTAAAGTATTTAGGTATATAAAATTAATTGTATACCAATAAAAACATGTGACATCAGTTTCATAGTTTTAAAAGAACTAAATAATTGCCACATGTTCCAGCTTGACAAAAAATAAAATTATTGCAGGGGAAAAAATGAAAATAAAAAAATAGTCAACTTGTGATTTTTAATAGAGGAATAATTTTGTTTATTCAATATTGGTGTGAATAAGTAAAATGTTTTTTATGAAAAATGGGAATGAATTTTCATAAAATTTTAAGAAACACGTGTGAATTGAAATTTACAGTAATATTAACGATGCTTTGGGTCCATACGCCCATGATGTGTACTAACCCTCGCTACGAAAATGTGCGTGAATACATAATTCATAAACAGTACAACATTTAAAATTAATACAGCGCTTATACTTATGGTTCCTTGAAATTAATTTAATATTCTTACTATTTATTTTATTTTCAATTTGATTATCAATTTTTATTTTTAACGTTACTTCTTCCTAATTCAAACTTAAATAAATTTATAATCAAGCAGCAGTAATTTAAGTATTCTTTTTCTTTTTTTCTTCATATATTTAATGTACACGCTGCAAAACATCATAATTAAAATTGTTTCCCCGTCTCATTTCAATCACATAAATATTTAACTGCTACTGGATAATTGGTACTGTGACGATATCCAACTGAATCCGTCCCAAACTGATTTGATCGAGTACGAGTCAAACGAGTTATTGACGCTCGGCGCTCAACCGTATAAAAATGAAAGTGTTTGAATTTCTTCAAGCAAGTGTAACGCTTTGCTGACCCTTTTCTCTACGCAATTCCTAAACGAAAAGCAGTTTATTCTAGTACTAACCAACACCGAGTCATAAAAATCATGATCTCCCCAAATTGTCAATTAACATGTATACACGTGTATACGCATGTGGTAGTAACCAACAGCAGCAAACTAAAAATTATACGATACGGAAGGAAAGCAATCCTTTCGCTCGTTCTAGTCTAAATAAAAGTAAAGGCTCTCTCGCATCGTTGCACGAAAGGTAGTATAAATGAACACCCCTTTTCCACTGGCGGTGCCTCGAAAACTACCCACCGGATCGATACCAAAAAACTACCCTTCGCACCCAGACTTCTTTCGCGTGTAAAACTCCCCGAAAGCGCACAGGCCGCGACATCTGACACAGCAAAACTCTACCGAGCGCGCCGTGAAAACTCTACCGGTCACTAAGCTCGGCTCTTCATTGTAACAGTCGACCTTCCACCGGAGGCCCCCCCCCCTCCCCTGCTGTTTCTACCATCTCATTGTAGTCAAGTATAGCTCCACCCGGAGCACACGCACAGGGTACCAAAGCTGCTGTGGTTTTACGACTGCTCGGGGACAAACATGTTCGAGGAGGAAGAGGAGGAGGAATCGCGTAGCATCTACGCGTCGCTCCCGATCTCCTCTCGGTGAAGTGTCGTCCACCGATATGACGAACCAAAGAAGCCACTCGACAGTGTAATCACAGGCTCTTAGTGCTAGGACCGAGTGTCTTATCAATACATGGTCTCATCGGGGTGCGGATTGATAGGACGCGCGTTGGGTGACAGACGTCCTCTCGTGGGTGCTTCCCCGTTGTGAATATGCCGGCGGTCCAGTCAACTCTTTATCATACTCGCGACGTGAGTTAATGTCCGATGTGTCTCCTACGGTGTAACAGACTCGTACGAAGTTAGAGTCTCCTGGACCTCCCAACAGCTGCAGGTATATCGTCCTTTACCCCCAAGTATACGTATATATATATATATATACACACCTGTTTTTACGCGTCTCATGATATCTCCTTTAACTTCCAGCATCAGTGTATATGCATATGGACCTTTCTCTTTATCCCTGCGTCTCTCCTCCTCCTCCGCGTTCGTTTGCGTGAAATTACGTCTCTTTGCTCACTGCTTTTGTTTTTCAACTTTCTCGGCTTTCACCTTGCGAGGAACTTTTTTTTTTTTTTTTTTTTTTTTTTTTGGTTTTCTTCCGACGGACTTTCGTCTACTTGTGTTGTACATAAATAGCGATGACCGAGGACACTTTTTTTTGCTTTTCACTGCAAGTTCTTCAAAAATGCCCCTTCCTCGTTTTGACTCGTTCCGTTGATCGAAGAGCCAGAGTCTCTCTCATCTCCTCAGTCGTTGCCTGTTGCATTATTTTACGGTTTACTCTTTTCCCTCGAATTTTTTCTTGTTTGCTTTTTTTTTTTTTTTTTTTTTTTTTTTTTTTTTTCACAGCGATTTTTCTCGTTATCAAAAACCACAGCAGTTATAGATTGTTTTATTTTTCTTTTTCTCTGTTCGCCCAATGTTTTCGGCTTCTCTTTCAAAGTCTATTCGACGCGGCTGGTGTTGACCTTCAGTATAGTGTTTGATCGGTGGTACATTCAAAGCGATGTTCAATAACGCGTGTACATGTATTCCTTTACATTATCAGGTATTGTGTTTCGCAACTATAGATTACATGATAAATTGTTTTTTTTTTTTTTTTTCCTTCATGCAAACGCTCGTTTGTTTTAATTGAAACCAAAGAAACTTCAGACGAACGAGTGAAATCCCAAGCGATTAAAATCATAAAAAAATTAAATTAACCGTAGGATCAATGAGACGATGGATTGTTGATTTCATAGGGAGCGAAAGTATGTCGTTTGATCGTCGAGGGCGAGGGAGGCAATGATTTAATTTGATGGATTTGAAGCGTACCACTCCAAGACCGGAAGGAATGCCTCTGGACCCGGATATCCAAGAAGCGACGAATGAGGCAACCATCACAGTGGAACCAGGCGCGGCGACCCAAGTGACGGAAGCCGCGCCGAACAATTACAATCCACCGCCGCTTTATTATCACGTCAACGTCCTGCCGTATCAGCCGTCCGTGTCGGGTGTCGCTGACAGAGGGGCACCACCTTCGTACGAAGAGGCGATCGATCCCAATGGTGCGAAATAAACCAACGACAATTTTTCGAAAATTGCTCCTCTCCCGCTGTATAACGAGGTGTTTTTTTTTTTTTTGCAGCTCCTCCCCCTTCTTATGAATCGTTGTTCGGTCGCATGAGGGAAGCCCACAAGGGAAGGAAGGACATATTCGACTTTTTGCAAAATATACTAATCATACTACTGGGCACAAGTGAGTAATACCGGTTTACCGTTTTTATACGTGCGATTTTTGGCACTCGGTAATTCCCAACGCTATTTTTCACAAAGATTTTGCTGTTGCTCGTTAATCTTCTCAAACACATCGAGTTTTTTAAGTTTATTTGTTTTATCTACGCAGCGAGGTGGTGTACCTAGTGTTTTTTTAAACATTTTTAACGAAATTATTAAATTAACATTTGTTTGTGGCACAATTGTTTAAAGCAATTCAGATGTAAATAATATTATGTACATCGAGAAATTAACTATCAAGAGCTAGAGTTTTTTAATGAATTATTTTAATCGTTGATTGACTGTTTAAATTTCTTTCAGTTGGACTTACGATATTTTTGGGTATTACAATTGTAATTCCGATATGTATGATGGTTGTCGGTGGGCTTTATCTGTACGACTGTCCTCAAGAGGAATACATTCCTATTTTTTTATTAGTCGGAGGTGGCTTTGGAATATTAAAACAGCTGCTTCAATTGTCCTCGAGAATACAACATAGTCGCGAAGAACAAGACGAAAACAGGATAACACAGACCCCTACTCAAAAATTAATTAACATTTTTTTACTTATGTGGTTTACGTTTGGTAAGAAAAATTTTCTGCATGACTTTATGATAGCTTCTTATTGAACCAGTCACAATTTATTTTTGATACGATTTCAGGAACATACTGTGTTTATAAGGAACATGAACCAAATTATGACCCGTCGCTGGGTAAATATTGCAATAAGACAGTATATTTATTTGCATTCTGGTCAGTTACCGTATTCTACAGTGCGTTCATATTTCTACTGGCTTTCGCTTGTATTTTCACATGTGGAAGCTTACTAGCAAAGTAGGAGTTTTTTAAATTATTTTACAGTACAAATTTTTTATACCTATCGAATTACAAAAAAAAAAAAAAAACTTTTTCAACAACGAAACAACCGGTACTCTCAGAAAATTATATGACAACTTTATAAACATTTTTCAAAATTTAACTGTTTATTTTTGTTTTTGTCAATAAAAAGATAAAAGTCGTAGAAAATCATAATTCTAGCGTAATCAAGTACAGGCAATTGAAAATTGATTTTCAATCATTGTAAAAAAGTTTTTTTTAAGAGTTAAAGACAATATTAAACAACCCAACAACAATAAAAAAATTCAGTGTTAAAGATAACTTATAGTACCTGAGACGCTTTCGTATTAAAAAAATTAATGTTAATATAATAAAATTTTTTAAAAGTATTAATTAACGATTTTAGTATTATAGATATGTTACTCTATGTAGTATGCTATAAAATATGATGTAGTAGTATTTGATTTATTTATTTTTTTCAATTAATTTCAATATTTTTTCAAAATGTCTCAAAATAACATATCTTGCTGCATACTAATTATATCACTTACTTTAAAAACTATGCTTTTTATGAAAAAAAAGAAAAAAAAAAGAACACACTTAATAAGAGATTACGACAGAGTGTCTCAGGTACAGAATCTTAACTCAAATACTGCAACTCGTAACCAAAAGTGTACATTTCAAGCAATATATATTTTATTTCCAATAGCATAAGACAAGACTTACGTATGGGTGGAATCGACGATTAATTTCAAGAAAGTGAAGCTGAATACCTATGTAGTTCACTAGCTATTTCGCTAGTCAAAATGCGTACAGATGTATATAGTAGAAATAGGTGTACTTGTAGCGATTTTTACATGTACGTCGGTATTAAGTCACGAAAGACTGCATACTCGGTGCGCGGTTTTAAACAACCTTCCTCTCACACTTACACACCTTCATCGTAATTAGTCTTATTTCTCGTTGCAATGGGTTCGTTTTTCAAAAACCTTGTGTTTCATCTTATATAAATTTTTACCTCATTGTAAATTTTTTTTTTTTTTTATTTATAAAATATTATAGAAGCATATTGTAAAAAACTTGGGCTTCGTTTGAAACCAAGTTAATTTCAGAACGTATCATTGGGAACCAAAACTATTTATTGAGCTTTACGTCTTTTAAAGGCGAGATATACTTAAATAATTTGTATCGCCCGAAATCTGCGGAACAAACATATCCATCTGTATTTTATACATGCAAATCCGAAACTTTCTAAAAATAAATCTGACGTAATTCAATAAATTCGACTAAATTTATTGACATGTAGTTTATGAAAGTACCGTAAAAGGAAAAAAAATCGTATAATTTATGTCTTCCGTTTATTATAAAATGTTTTCGTGGCCAGAGGAAGAAACAAAAAGAAAACGTTTCTCTTTCCTTCGAATTTCTCGATGACGAACCGAGTGAGTGCCAATTTCATTGCAAACTGATTGTAAATAATTATCGATAGTAATGAGTGAAATCCAAGAATGAATGTAGAACCATGGATTCTGTTAATAATTTAAACGGTTAAAATTGAAGGGTATATAAAATTAACACCAAATTTGAATATATCCACGTATTTCCGGCACATGTACGTTAAAATGTACCATATATATTAAGAGAAACTAACATGTCATTAACTACAATGTTTGTAAAAGTTATTAACTTCGCAAATCAAACATCATAAAAAATTGTCATTTCACATTTGCTATAATTTTTTTACTGGTATTAATCAACGAAAAATAATAGTTAATCATTCAAATATTATGATAGTTTTTGTTTTTGTTTATTCGTAGTGAATTACAATTACTATGGATAAATTAAAGTAAGGATTAGTGAAAATTACAAAAACAAAAAACAATCAAGAATAGAACTTACACGAGGAAAAAGTATTGAATCCAAAACTGATGGTCTTGTGACTTAATTTTGCTAAATAATCATGGTGTCAATTAACTTAAACTATATTGACACTTTTGTTTCTTAGAGAATTAAGACTACATGAGAGAGGTTTGCAAGTCTTCCGTTTAAAAAAAAGAATTTATAAGTTTCTGACACTTTTATTATTTACTTGTTTCCCAAGCTTAAAAGGAATATTCGATCTATTTAGTTTCAATTTAGTAGCAACGTCAAAAGTTTCTTAGAAATTGTGCCTAGTTTACTTAAAGGAACTGCAAATGAAAACAAGTATGATAAACTTGAAAAGTTCATTACTTGGACAGGTTCCATTTTTTTTTTTAATTTTAACACAATTACGAAAGAAAATTAGCGGTGTTGAATACAAAAATATCGATGTAGTGGAAAAGAGAATTATTTCACTCAGTATTAATTTTTAATTCGTTAATTTGTATTTTTGTATGCTTATAATAAGAAATTGTCAATTTAAAAAGGAATTTCAATAAATATCTTTAAAAAGTTTTATTAGATTTTGATTGTACAAGATTTATTTCTCTTCTAAAATGATTTCATTTAGAGAGATCCAGGAAATTCTTATGTTTAGTGAACAGAAACGTTTAACTTTCATGTATAAGTAATACTAAATTGAATATACTTTTGATGTTATCATCCCGATTGTATTATATAAATGTATCAAAATTTTTGACATAATCAGCATTATTGTTAACTTTCGTTCGTTAAATTTTTTATTGATATTGTGACAATACAGAAGTACTAAAAAATGTAGTTGTAAGTACTCTTTGATATTTTTAATTGACAAAAACTCTAATAAAACTAATAAATAAAAAAATTTCTAGTGAACTTTTTGATTAAATATATAAATTAAGATATGTAATTTTTTATTACGAAATTTCAAAATGTATTCTCATGTTGTACAAGAGTTTAGTATTATTTTTGTGTGAGATAACTCGAAAATTTTTGTATGAAAAAAGTAACTTTATTTCTGTAATATACCAATGACAGCTTTAGCCAGTATATTTATCTCTATTTATACAAAAATAATTACAGCGAGCGATCGTTAAATATGTATATTACGTTAAATAAATGGCTTGAAACAAATGTTTTTTCTATTTGTCTGGCTAATACATTGATTTTCCTGAACTCTTCGTTTCATCAGATTTATTACATTGTTTTTTTCAATAATTTTTCTGTACCGTTCTTTCAAATTTATTGATTATCCAAAAGTTAAAAATGTTCTTTTAATGGTACCCAATTTCAAGAGTATAATTTTTAACTTAAGCAAAAATGCCGAGTAAAACTAAAAGTAATAAGTATATTTATATTTTTAGTTTTTAATCACGTAAAGGTGTAATCATAAAAATATACTGCTCGTTTTGCGCTTTGCACGCACAAAAAGCAATAATCCATCAGAGATAGTTGTCATCGTAGTCCCCACTACTGCCTCCCCCTTCCTCTCCTTCGTCATCGAACAAAACGTCATCCTTTTTTAGATACTCCTCCGCACGATCGTCCGGCTCATCGTACTCGCACACGTCGCTGAGTGACTCCTCGGACACCTTCGAGATGAGGAAAATTCGTTTACTAAATCTTCGTTTTTCAATCATACCAGATTTAATTTTTCAATTGTAACACACGATCAAATACTTGGGAAAAAAAATATTGTACCCTTACACGAGTTTGTAAACCAATCCGATGTACATGAATTTTCTATACACGTATAGTATACATTTAAAATACAAGAGGAGCTTCATGACAGAATTCAATTGATAAAAATGTCCCTCCGCACGATACTTGTGAAAAGCATCAGTATTTAATGTTGATTTTATTATTTTTCTATTCCACCAATGTTGATACAATCAAAAATCATTTAATGAGTACATCATAAGTATAGCTTTGTGTGTACCTCTTCCTGAAGCGGCATCGGATCGGGCGGTAACAGCTCCGGGGCGTAAGCGGTGACGCAGCGTGCGCGCCACACCGAAGCGTATCCCCTTCTCAGGGGCGCTGGTCTTCCTTCCAAGCTCTCTGCTATTCTCGCGTCTTCGGCCTCGTATTCCTCCGCAGCCTCTTCCTTCACAAGTATATGTATTTACGTACGCAGGGGGAGGATAAACCGGATAACGATGTGTATGGAAGTTAAGAGGCTCGGCGCTCGGATAATTTGGCGAAACAAATTACGTAGGAAGGACAAGGGAAGCTCAGTATCGAGTGCAGTTGGTGAGAGTATGGTGATAGCACTGATATCGAATCTCTAGTTTTTTTTTTTTTTCATGTGGGGATAGTAAGAAAATCAGGTTGCGTTGTGTAATTTGTTCGTAATTGTTATTGCGTTAGGATTTCGTCAAAACAAAACGCAACAGGTACAGACGAAAAAAATTGTTTGGATGCTGAGTGATTAATTATCGTAAAATGATACAGCTTTTCGATGTTTTACCAGAGGTACTTTGAGCTGTCTCAATCGAGGAAACTTTGGGATATTCGAAGAAAAATTGTTTTTTTAACAGAAAGACAGTGTATTTAGTTTCTATGAGTGTTGAGATGTTGAAAAAAATTTTACTCTTTTTTTAAAAAAGTCTATTTTGAAAAAGCACGTATAACTATAATTGAGAAAAATGCAGAAAATCAGGCTTTGATAATTAAAAACTATGATTTAATATTTAGTGTACGACAAAATAATAAATAACAACGACCCCATTATTAAAAAAAATAGAAAAACAAAATTTATTTGTTTTGTTAGTAATTACAGCTGATTGACTAACTCATTTCTGACTTTTTTTCACATTTGAAAGCTATTTACAGAGAATATAAATTAATCTAATCTTTTGCCAGCAATAATTTTAAATGTAAAATTTCTTTCATTCCAATGTATATTAAATCCTTATTTATGCAAATATTTAAATATTATTAAATCAACCACCCTTGACAGTACAACTGAATTAAATTATCTGAATGTAAAACAAAAATATAAGTTGTGGAATCGTGAAATTGTATCATATTTTTAAAAATTATTCACTAGACAAAATAATCAATTCAGCTCACCCTCAAACTTTCATCTGTCTCCAAAGCGTTATCATCCACTTTAGAAACAAGTGCATAGTAACCGTGCTGTAGGCTAGAATTGCCGAATACGAAGCAACCTCGTCCTACCGGCTGCGAATTGTAAATAAACTTATTACTCTCTAAAAATCATTAAAAAACTAGTATCATTTTGTAAAACCCCTTACTCTTATAGCGCTAGAAAATTATAAAAAATTCTTAAATAAATATGTTCATCGATCGGTAACAATAAACCATGAATTAAATTTTTTCATCATAAAGATCGATCCCATAACACCTTAAGAATTTATTCAGCGATAGTCGCTATTCGATGACCCAATTATTGCACTTGAGTAACGTTTCTCGTTTCAATTTAAAGAAATTGTGTCATCAGTGCGTAAATATTATCAAAAGCATGCCTCAGTAGAAAAGAATGAAATACCTATACCTTTAAAAAACAACTCAATAATCGATACATATGAAAAATTCAACAAAAAACTCTTGATATGATTTATAAAATTAAAAAAAAAAAATTAATAAAAAAACGTATAAGTAGAAAATATTGACCAAATTAACGTCCCAAAATCCATGGAATCGATGCCGGTTATGAATCATCTGTCCGGCTCCCTGCATGCGATCGAGGATCCAAGTACCGTAAAACTTGCTTCCCGAGCTCGCGTACGTGTAAGTACCGAGGCCGTGGCGTAAACCACTTTTCCAGTTTCCCTCGTACACGTCACCGTTGCGATAATGGTAGGCCCCAAAACCGTGCCTCTCGTCCCTTTTCCACTCGCCTGCATTATTTATATACGTTTTATACATGACGGTTTTTTTTTTTTTTTTTTTTTTTTCAACGTCTCACCTTCGTACCGAGAGCCATCGGGATACAAAAAAGTACCACTGCCGTGTTTGACATTGCGTCGCCAGTCACCGTCGTAACGTGGTCCAGCTTTGAAAACGTAAACACCTCGACCGTGTCGCGTACCCTCGCAATACTTGCCCGCATACGTGTCGCCGTTAGGCAGCACAGCTTTGCCGTAACCGTGGCGCTGACCTGCCTTGTTGCGCTCACCCTCGTATAACTTTTTTTTTTTTTTTTTTATTCGTTTGGATTTAATTTTTGTGTGCTTTTCATACGCATCTACACGCTTAATTTTTCTTTTTTTTCTATGAGGTAACAACTTTTAAGCACTTTACGATAATGACTCACGTTCGTGCTTGTCTCGTCATAGAAAGATCGGCAAAAGATTGACGGAGAGAAGAGAATGTAAAATCAGAGTGAGATTGGCATCGTTTTCGACAAACATCGTCGGTGAGAGTGTGACGCCAGTCAATGGATCCGGAGATTTAATCGGCCGATCGTTCGGGAGGTAATTGAAATTGTTACGTATCAATGAAATCGCGAATTACTCGGCACAAATAATGGAAACTTTTTTCGACGACTCCCATTGTGTAGCGATGACGCGTGTTTCAACTCGCCGCGTAAATCGATCGTCATGTATCATCGCAGGTACATCGGATACTCATGTTTGGCAATGCGACAATAACCATTTTTTTTTAATAACCAGGCTGCCAACGTCAATGGTATACCTAAACGCGCTTTCTTGCGATCTGCTGACTCATCGAGACTAACTTGCTCCAAGCCTAATTGATGCTCGAGACGTTCGTAGATTAGTTGGCTCGCCGATGGCAAGATTTGGATCGAGAGCTAAGGTAACTCAAAAGTAATATACGCATCGTCTTAAGCCGCGATTGAGCCAAACAATGTTTCCAAAGCTACGACGAGGGAGCGCGTGTTAAGTGGCAGCCACGCGAAAACAAACTCGCGTCCAATTAATTTGATTACGCGTTTTTTCGCTCCCTATCGCCGACGCCGGCTGCGATTATCTCTCGCGGTCTCGATTTTCCGTCTCGGGGCACGCAAGTACGTCACACGGGTCTTTCTTTCTTTCGCCCGCGTCGAGTGGAAAGAGAAAAAAAAAAAAAAAAAAAAAAAAGTAGCGCGTGATTGAAAGTTCAGTTGACATTTATCGCGAGAGAGTATACGCGGATGAACAACTGCGCGTTTTATGTAATGCCGCTCTTTCCATTCGAAAGCGGGCAGTCGTGACATGATGCGCTCTTCGAGGCTTGACAATGACAAAAGTTCAAAAGCATTAGGAACGCGTGTATGTCCGAATGATTCGTTATCTCGCGCTACGCCGACAATATTCATAACCTTTGCGCGGGGAAAAATCATCGTTCGCTACTACGACTCTTTCTTACTCTGAGCAGAGCGTACCCGTACTTACCCCTAATGGATTTTCCGGCTCGGTTGGTAGGGACTCGGCCTCGTACTCGTAAGACTCCTCTTCGCTCATATTGCCCTGATGACGGTTTTGGGTGGGTGCGGCGACTCTGGAAACAAGCCGAACGCCTTGAACTTTGTTGGTGTTTACGGGGAACAAAAGCACCCTTGCGCGGTAGGGATTTTAATGGTGTGTTGGGGCGAAATCAGCAATAACAAAATTAATTTAGTGTTTTTTAAAATAATTTATTATTAAATCGATCATTATTCGTGAGATACGATTTTTACAATTTTTTCCACAGCTGTGACTTAGGTTTATTTACAGAGAAAAACTCGTATACGTCTAGTGAATCTTAATTTTGAGTGGTGTAAAATTAAAAAAAAAATAATAATAATAATAATTCCAATAATATCAACAAACTTTGCATACTCTTTTACATATATATGATTGTTATAAGATGAGTTACAATAATTTTGTTTCCATGAAGATTTAAATAATTTTGAAATGCTTGAGTTACTTAAAAGTTTATCCATCACTGAAACTAATTACAATACTGTACAAAAAACGCCATTTAAAAAATTTTTATTGCGTGAGAGTACTTAATACAGGAAGTTTAAAGACGTATACAAGTATAAAGATTTTGTTTCATCAATCAAAAAAGTCCAAGGGAATTAAATTAATGGTATCTTTACCTTTCATTATTATAGTTAACTTAACATACACAGCGGATTCCTATTTGGAAAATTATTCTATCATGTACATCGTCAAAACGGTGCTTGTGTTTATTCTGTAACACACAAGCTTAAACAAAGTAAACTAATCCTTTGAATTTTCGCTTGTAAATTTGCTATGAAAAAAAACTCACCAAAACCACGTATAGCCCGAAAGCTTGGAGGGTCTTGAGAATCTTGCAATTGAATGCGCATTTCTTTTTACAGAGGCAAACATATTGCATCCTAAAATTCAAGAAAAATGTAGTTAGTAGACACAACTGTTGTCCATAACTGCGAACCGTTTGGCGGGTATCCTTCTGCAGCCGCAAAACTTAACTTTATTTTCCGGTTAAAAGACCAATGAGAACTTGCTTTTCCTTTTCCTTCTTTCTTACGGTGTCTAGATTTCTCTGCTTCCAGTTGCTTTTGCGCAGTTTAATGGGACGTGAACCAACGTATCTTCCTATAACAAAGGAGTGACAACAAAATATATATTTTTAAGTTCGCATTTTTAAATATACATGAATTTTTTTCTCAACTACTATCACAGTAATGAAGTTAGAAAAAATATAACAGCTTGCGTCACGCTGTAAATTGTTTAAATTTCAATTTCAAGTTGTGAAACATTAAGATTAAGATGTTTTTTTTATTGTTTTTTTTTTACTGGTGTCTTTAAATAAATATAAGTTTTTTCATATATTTCAATCGCTCAAGGTGCATCACTTTGCTTGTAAACGTATAAACCAAAAGATCTCGCTATTACGAAACTTTAATAATTACAATGTCATTTTAATATTTTCTTATTTATGTAAGTCACTATGTCGCCTGTAATTTATTGTCTTAACTACTAAGCTCAGCCACGTGACACTAATACTATCAAGTAAAAAAAAAATCTTGTCAATAAATAAAAATAATAATAATGCAGGAAAAAACGTCTATGTAACGGTGAGTTAAATAAAGTCATTTTAAATACTTAAGTTTTATTTTCAAAACAACACAATACATAACTTTCGTAGACATTTATAAACTTAGCTTCGTGTATACATGTACTCGAACATCCCACACGCAGTGTTGCTATTAAATATACGCTTTATTAATAGTCAAAAATTCTACATGCCTAATAGGATTTAGCGTAGGCGTTATCCCTCCCCTTGTCGCCAAGCCACTCCGCCAGCTTTATACCAAAGGCAAATCTCGGCGAACTTTCCCACGATCGATTAAACGCACATTCCATCTAAAAACTATCTTATCCCTAATGTTTACATTTAAAATAAATTTAACTCTGTATGAGGTGTGAATACCACTTTAGATAACACGTTATTGCAACTATAAAAAAATGCTACATAAAGTTTTCTTGGATGCAAGGTAAATGTAGCTGAAACGTTTAGTCGATTATAGCTGTAAAAGCATAAAATGTTATACCAATTATGACGTTATAATGCTGTTTCAAATAATACAAAAGTTCTTTTTAGAATGAAAATTTAATATTTAGTGTGCCGTGGATCAGCAGTGTAAATTTGATCAAAGGGAACAATCTTGCCTCTAGGCTCGACCGTCAAATAATCATATACTCGACGGGAGCCTCAAGACAAGCGCTCACCTCACATATCCGTTCGTTTGTTCATCATTTCCACGGCACAACTCTCGGTAGGAAGTGAATGCAAACATTTCTTTTGAGACCAAAATACACGCGTATTTTCTTTTGTACCGCTGAAATTAACTCCCACTCAATTATTTTTTCTTTGTTCTGACCGTTGTGACGTTAATTTTTCTTTTATATTCCTTTGCAGGCAACTTGTTGCTTGTTATGAAAGGCATGGGTCAAAGCGTATATTTGCGGTTTGAAACAAAAAATATGGATAAATAAAGAACTCAGATGAGTGACGACCAGTAAGATTTTTAACGACTATTTTTTTGGGCAATAATTATAAATTTCTTTTAACTCGAGAACTTGCAAAATTTAATCAAATTAATGTACAAAATTAGCTAGAACTTTAAAATATTTAGGTAGCTGATTGAAAAATTAGAATTAGAATACAGTTTTTAATTATTATATTTTACTTGGAATTAGTTTTTATTGTAATTACGAATTTAATGTGATTTGTAAGTGAAATACAAATCATCAAAATTAGTAAAAAATTCAGTTTCAATATCTATTTCATCAAGATGTAATTATAATATTAAGGAAAGTAATTATAAGAGCTTCAAAAATAAATAAAAATATTTCAAACATTCTACACCATTTTAATAGAAATAAATGATATTTGCAATATCTATGTTTTTAATATGACATTAATAAAAAAAAATTAAATTCAAGAAACATCACGGGTAAAATGATTTGTTAAAAAATAAAATTTTATTTCTGTACTGTAACGTACGATATGCAAGGCATATCTTTCCCACGTAACAGTACTGTTATTATATTTCATATCATAAACTTAAATTTATTGAAAAAAATAAAAGGAAATGTAATTTCAAGTATCTGAGCCAAAAGTATTAGTATAGTACAGTAACAGATTATTAAGAATTGGCTTATCGTCTATACTTTGTTTCATATCACTGAAAAATATGCGATACACTTTTAAAGATTTTCACAGATATCGTATCAAAGTCTCTGATTGAACGTCGCATGTACGTACTTTTTATCGTATCATCGATAAGCTGTAGTTTTGAAGTGGATGAAATGCTCAAATGTAACAAAATTTCTAATAATTCAACGCCTTTTCAACGAAAAATGATTATTCTTTAGCACATTGTGGTATGTGAGGATGCTCATACGTTTACTGAAACTACTTGTTATGTCGGACTATTCAGGCTCGTACTACTGCTTCTTGTTTATTTTTTACATCGCAACATATTTATGTTTATAAAAAATTTAATAAGCTTAAAACAATTTTTTTTATAGTCATAATGTTTATTTCTTTTAAAATGTATATTAAAATCATTTAAAATGTGTATGATGAATTCTTGAAAATGAACCCTGATGAACCCCTTGAAAAAATAAAAAATCCTACTTTTTTGTACCTTTTTCATATTCAAAAAAAACTTTTTTTTTTAATTAACAGATAATAAATCTTTTTTTTTTTTTAATTAGATCACAATTTTACATAGTGTTCTTAGATAAACTACTATGTTAGAACTTCCTTCTTAAACAATTACACACCTTTCGTAAAAATTCATTAAGAAAACAGAAGCTCGCAAAAGTTCAAAAATTCGATTTTAATATGACTCTTTTGCTTGTTAATTTACTTGGATATTTTCCAAACTGAATTCAACGCTACTACAACCTGATACACATTCACAAAGAATGCCATCAACAGCCGGAAGATTTTTTTCGTGGTATTTGTGTATCTCAGAAAAACAAGCGATAAATTTATTACATGCGCTTATTTGAAATAATAACTGGTGCTGATGATACTTCAAAAGAGTGGGCGCGTCACGTGGAATGTGACCAACAAAAAAAAAAAAAAACAAATTTGAGAAAAAGAAATGTAGGACATGCGAAAACTGGCAAGTGGATCTTGGTAGTCATCTCCTAAGAATAACACGGGACTAGTCAGCCGTTTTTTTCGTCACGTTGATATTTTGTCAGTTTATGGTATTTCGAATAGAAACATGGAAAAATTGAGTCATCTTGTTATTTTAATGTAGAAACTTCTTCATTGCTCGATTTTATATTTACATGGTAAATCTGTGTACTGAGATTCATGAAATTAATAACTTTGGAGACTGACTACTGAAAGTTCATAGTTTGTGAAAATTGTTTTGTATTTTCGAGCTGTTGACTTATATTTTTACCTGTATTTTAATTAACTTATTAAAAATTATAAAAATTTAAACAATGTTGAATGATATAATGTAGCTTAAAATTTTCATTCTCTCTTTTGATCGTGAATGAAAGTGGTAGGACAAAATTAAACATTAAAAAAAGAGGACGTTCTATTTATAACCACGAACTTGTTTTCACGAACTAAAAATGAACTCTGTCATTTTATTTTTTTTATACGGTACTGAGTAAATGTGTCATCGAACTCTATTATTAGGTGTCGTGAAATCATCAAAACTTATATGTTCAAATGTGATTTAAAATAACTGTTATTTCTATTCTACATCAATTCAAGTAAAAATTTACGCTTCCTCGAGCTCTGTGAATATTGTAGTATAGATTTTTAAAATTTTTTATTGTAGTATACATTTATTTATCTAGTGTGCTATTGAGCACTTGTACGGCTGATTCTATCTCTGCAGAGTACAATGCGCACAGATGAGGGGAAAAGTACGGATGCACAAGCATATACGGGCAACTAGTTTCCTTCGTACTTTACCCACTTGATTTTATTTTTAAGAATCTCAAAACCAAATCATTATTTTTTCGGATGAATAATGGTAGTTTTCCTACGAGTTTGAAAAGTCTCTGTTTGCGAACCGAGAGGTTTGCGGCCCGAGCCGAAGGCGAGGGACGTAACGAGGTTCGTAAAGGAGACTTTTCGAACGAGATCCGGAAAACTGCTTTTTCGCCCGTGGAAGTACCAGCCTCCCAAAACCACCCGAGGGCGGAAAATAAATTATAGCGGATCGCAACAAAATAAAAAACAAAAATGTAACCAAGATACAGATGATTCAATACCCAGTAAAGTTACTCGACGATAAAAAAAAAAAAAAAAAAACGTATACTTAGCGTATAGGGGAGTCTGATCATTGCAATCACTGACCCTTTGTTCGACGTAATTTACTTTACAAACGCAACGATGATTCAAAACACATTCTGTTGGGCTTACTTGATATCGATTCACACGGGACAAAAGTAACGAAACTACATGATTCCCACGACGACAAGATCCAGTTCTCTCCAAACGCGTAAAAAAGCCAAGAGGAATACAATGCCCTTATCTCGAGCTCCTATCAGTCACATTAGCCGCCCTCCCCCTCCACCCCAGCAATCGTCTCTGCGCTGTCATCATAGCAATTATACTATCCGCAAAAGGCACACACGTGTACGTATCTCGAGCGAGTTAGCCAACATAAAATATAGGCGCAAGCTGGCGTCTGGCTCTACTGAACCGGAGTTCTCGAGTGTCGGGGCCTACAGGCGCCCACGATAAGCTGCGAGGGGCAAAAAAGCAGTACAGCTAACGTATATATACATGGGTTATTCCCCCGTAACTCTTTTAGATCAACTTCAAAATTTGCTCTTATATAGTATATCTATGTAGTTGAAACGGTAATTCACACCTAAAGCGATTTTACAAGAATGTATAGTTTACGTGCCTATTTAAATACGCTTAATGGTCATTTCTATAGGGGAGGAACGTAATTTTTGTGCAAAAATCAAACACTTTGCAACTTAAGAAATAAAACTCTGATTTGGACAATAACGATCGTGCAAATCGTAGGACAAAACGTATGATGGCAATAATCCGTGATAACTGTAATTGATAACGCGTGCCTACGCGTAAGTTTGGCAAAATAAGTTACAAATTTTTTATCGGAAAGAGCTTTCACGATTAAAATGGAATTGGGAACACGGATGATGGGAACCGACACTTTGACTCTCTTTTCGAAGTTTTCCTTGCGAGCGAACGAGGTAATAATGTAATAATATTGGATTAAAAGACAAAGAAAGCTTGCAACTTTTACCTTGTTCGATTTCATTTATTTGCGAGTACACGCGAGGCCCCGGACGCAATTTGAGCTACAGATACGGAAGAATCACCCATATTTATACTTACATTTACGGAACGTCCGTCGCTCTTGGCAATCAAACGCACCGAGCGCGGAAAGCACCACAATTATATGCATGAACGAGAGATGCGCGTTATCACTTTACAGTCGACTGTAAAACATACCTACTCGTTGTAGGTACCTATACGTATATAACGTACACGAACTTGGGTGGCTTGGCGATAAAGCCGATTGGTCCCTTGCTACGCAGCAGGGAGGGACGCTCGTACTTCCACTTTTCCTCTCCGCCCTCCTCTGTCACGAGTTCAGTGTATACACATGGTCTTGCGCGCGCCCTGACTTCAAATCTCGTTTAGCATACACAGGCGCATGTACTGTATAGGCAAACATACGAGGAGGAGGTGGAGAGAATAAGTGTAAGGGTAGGGGGTTGCTGAATGAAAGTGGCCGCACGCACGTTGGTGGGACGCACTTGGTCGCGGTCAGTCAGACTCGGAAGTCTAGTACTTGCACGACAAGCGGTAATATCATTAAAGCAAACGAGTCACACCCCCACGCGTGTACCTGTGACCCTTTGCACCAGCGCGACGACGAAACGATCGGCTGGTTGTGCGGCAGCTGATACCGATTTTTTGGTTCGTTAAACTTTGCGCGCGCGAGTAGAGCAACGGCAATCGGTTGACGCGGTGGTACTTTGGACAACTGCAAGAGCGATCGAGTTCAAAGTTTTTTTTTTTTTTTTTTTTTTTTTTTTTTTTTTTTTTTTTTTTTTTT